CGGGTGAGACAAGGCCAGACCAGGTAATGCTTCTGGCAGAGTGGGGCATCTACTCTGTCTGGGAGTCTTGTCCATGTTTATGGATCTCAGCGGCTCCTTGAGTTCCAAGGGGAAGGCAGGAATCGTTATTTGCTGCTTTGCATGGTTCACCAATGAGCCAAGTTCAGGTGGGTGACACAGCAGCGAGTCCTTGGAGAATCACAACTAGCAGGAGAGCAAGGACTTAGGGACAGAACCCGACTCTGTTTCCTGTTTAAAGGACAGAACCGCACTATTGGAGACAACACGGTGTGTGGAGATAAAAGTAAGGCACATAGAACAAATTTCTTTTCTCTCCTTTGGATGGCATTAGAACAACTATGTGTCGTAAAGAATTTTCAGAGAAAAATAAAACTGTAAATTCAACTTGGGGAAGTACACCCCAGAGGATCTCACGAACCAGAGGCAGCCCCTGGCGTGGCCTCCACAGGGCCTGCAGGACTCCTGCTGTCTACCTTACTCTCAGTCTTCAGCCTGCTCTAGCTCCCGCAGCCCACTGCCCCAGACGCCTGCACCCTTATCTTCCACTCTCCAGATGGCAACAGTCCGTTCCTTTGAGACAAGCAAAGGTCAAGTTCTTCGCTTGGATGGATCCTTCCCAGCTGTCTGTGCCCAGAACCTCCCGCCGTAGCCAGACCACATTGCTTATTCCTTGTCTGTAGGCAGTTGCTGACTGCTTTCCAAAAGCTTTCAGATGCATCTGGGCAACCTCCAAGACTTTCTATTTCCCCATTCAACCAAGGCTTACAGTTGGCCGTGTTAGAAAATTAAATTGTACTGTAGACTAAGCCTTTGGAAATTGAAAAAAATCCATGTATGTGGTTGTATGAGGGTACTTCAAACCCTCTGTAGAAAATGGAATTCCAAGATTTGTTTTAGTATTAAAAAAAAACTTGAAATGCGTAAATCGGTATTCCATTAGATACATTCCTATAAATTTTCTGAACATCCCTCTTGCCTTCTGCCTATGCCAAGCTTACTCTGCTATACTCAGGAAAGCCAGCATGACCTATGACCTATGGAAGACTTTATGCAAGAGTTTGGGATGGATGTTCAGATACCAGTTGGGGTACCTGCATCTCAAATTGGAAGACATGGGACCCGGTCCCAGCTCTGCCCGATTCCAGCTTCCTGCTAATGCGCACCCTGGGAGACAACAGTGGTTGCATTCCTTCCACCACATGAGAGATGAGGATTGAGCTGCTGGCCTCTGGCTTCAGCCTGGTCTAGCCCTGGCCATCGCGGGCATCTGCAGAATAAATGGGTAGACAGGAGATCTCTGCCTACCTCTGTCTCTTTGCCTTTTAAATGTATTTTTAAAACTTTTTAAAGATTTATTTATTTATTTGAAAGTCAGAGCAACAGAGGGAGAAGAGAGAGAAACATTAACCGGTTCACTCCCAAAATAGCCACAACGGCCTGGTCAGGGCCAGGCTGAAGCCAGGAGTCTGGAGCTCCACCCTGGTCTCCAATGTGAGTGTCAAGAGCCCAAGGACTTGGGCCATCCTCTAGTCCCTTCCCAGGTGCATTAACAGTGAGTGGATCAAAAGTCAAGCTGGGGCTGGTGCTGTAGCCCATGTGGGAACCAGTCCCAGCTGCTCCACTTCCAATCCACCTTCCTGCTAATGCGCCTGGGAAAGCAGTAGAGTGCTTGGGCCGCTGCACCCACATGGGAGATCTGGAAGAAGCTCCTGGCTCCTGGCTTTGGACTGACCCAACCCTGGCCATTGTGGCCATTTGAGGAGTGAACCAGTAGACAGAATATCTCTGCCTCTCCCTCTCTCTCTATGTAACTCTGACTTTCAAATAAATAAATCTAAAAAAAAAAAAAAAAAAAAAAAAAGAAGAAGTGGAGCAGCCAACACTGGAACCAGCACTCTGAGATGCCAGCAGCACTTGCACCATGCCAGGCCCTAAAATTTTTTTTTAAGTCTTCCTTCAGTAGTCAATTACTCAGGACCCCATAAGGGCGAGGCAAGATGCCAGCTGGATTAAACAGCCCCGGTTCCCTCCATGCTGCTTTATGGGGAAGGCAGAGAAGCAGTCACCTCTTACCACAGTAAAGAACAGAATGGAGACACTTCGATGGCTCCGAGTTGGTAAGAACACGGAAGACATCACCATTCAAATGGAGCAGACACAAACAAGGTGAGGAGGAGGGGCCAGCAGGTGACTTGTAGGAAGGCGGGTCTTACTGAGTGTGGGCAAATGCACATCCCAAGAACCACAAACTCAGGAGAGAAGTTAAAAGACCAGGCCAGATGCTACACGGTGGTGACCGCCAGGGCTTTCTCAGGAATCAACTAGAAGCACTGGGGGAAGGCAGGGCCACTGACTGTGGGAGGGACTGAGCGGGCTGACATAATCTAGGACCTAATCCCACAAGCAGAGATTCAAGACAAGCGGGGCCAGTACAGATGATGGCCAGGCTGGGGCAGGGAGGCTGGCACTGAGCACTGCTGTCATTCCACCCTGACACTGAGTTCAGGGATTGGCTTGTGCCATCATACGGCTTCCTGCGGTCATTATTCACATCCTGATCAAGCTCTTATTCCATTATTTCAACCCCCTCCCCCCTTTTACAGACCAGAGGATGGAGCCTGGCAGCCTCAGACCTGACCAGGGGACCCTATTAATGGACACAGAGCCAGGATGACGAGAAATCAGTGAAGTCCTCATTATGCAATCAAATGAAACAGCTCAAAGCTGTCCTGCTGGCATGTTCCTGGGGGCAGTGGGACAGAGGTCACAGAACTTTACACCGGGAGCTGCAGTGGAAGATGGTTTGCAGATAACATCCATGCCCAAAGCAAAAGTAAAGCCCCCACGCAGCCCTGAACCATTGTTAAAAACTGGATGTGTTAGTGGAAAAGGCTGGAATAGAGCTTCTTATCTTCGCACAAGAAAGGGGAGAGGCAGACTAGGGAGAAGCAAGGTAGCAAGGTTTAATGGGGTAGGGCATCTGTCAGAACGAATGGCACCTCTCCAGATGGAATCTGAGAGTGCCCAGCCATTCAGACTGGGGTAGCAAGGTTAGAGTTTAATGGAAAGAATGCATCTGACAGGCCAGGCATCCCAGCAAAGAACTGAGAGCTGAGCTCAGAGAAATGCACCTGATAAGCCAGGCTGGCTCTCAGGAAGGCGCTGAGAGCGAATGGAGTCCAGTCCTTCCTGCTGTTTCTCCTTCTCTCCACCCTCTTCTCCTGGACAATGGCTTGCTGGGTGTGAAATCCGTAAAATTCTTCCCAAGGTCTCATGACCCAATGTTACCAGACCGGGTAGCCCACTTGGCGCTGGGCAGAGAGAATTCTCCTAAGTGTCTTTCCTGTGGGGGTGGGGGGTGAGACCACCTATAAAGTTACTGGGGTCTGGGGCAGATTGGAAGTGTGCTTCTGACGCTGCTCTTTCCTTTCTGCAGGTCCTTTGTTTTCCTAAAGCCCCTCTCACACACGTGGGCTAATTTCTAATCTCCTCCCTAACAGATGCACAACACTCAAGTCTTACATCCTCAGTTGAAATAAATTCCTTTTATCAGGACAAGCACCTTATCCAGCATTTAAGATACCACTTAGGATGTCCACATCCCATATTGAGTACCTGGGTTGCTCCCAATTTCATCTTCTTACTAATGTGCTCCCTGGGAGGCAGCAAGTAACGGCTCCAGTACTTGGGTCCTTGCCACCCATGTGTGGGAGACCTGGGTGGCGTTACTGGCTCCCAACCTCAGCCTGGCCCCACCCCAGTTGTTGTGGGCATTTGGAGAGAAAATCAGCTGATGGAAGATCTTTCTGTCTCTCCCTCTCTCTCTAGAGTTTTTTATTTTTTCTTTTAAGATTTATTTATTGGCCGGCGCCACGGCTCACAGGCTAATCCTCCGCCTGGCGGCGCCGGCACACCAGGTTCTAGTCCCGGTCAGGGCGCCGGATTCTGTCGCAGTTGCCCCTCTTCCAGGCCAGCTCTCTGCTGTGGCCAGGGAGTGCAGTGGAGGATGGCCCAAGTGCTTGGGCCCTGCACCCCATGGGAGACCAGGAGAAGCACCTGGCTCCTGCCATCGGATCAGCACGGTACGCCAGCAGCAGCGCGCCGGCTGCGGTGGCCATTGGCGAGTGAACCAACGGCAAAGGAAGACCTTTCTTTCTCTCTGTCTCTCTCTCTCACTGTCCACTCTGCCTGTAAAAAAAAAAAAAAAAAAAAAGATTTATTTATTTATTTGAGAGGCTTGAGAGGCAGTTATAAAGAGGTCTTCCATCTGCTGATTCACTTCCCAGATGGCTGCAATGGCCAGAACTGGGCCAATACAAAGCCAGGGGCCAAGAGCTTCTTCCAGGTCTCCCACATGAGTGCAGGAGCCCAAGCACTTGGGCCAGCTTCCACTGCTTTCCCAGGCCATTAGCAGAGAGATGGATCAGAAGAGGAGCAGTCAGGACACAAACCAGTGCCCATATGGGATGCCGGCACCACAGGCGGAGGCTTAGCCTATTATGCCATAGCTCCAGCCCCCAGAGACTTTCAAATAAACAAAAATAAACATTTTTCAACAACTACTCTTGGTGCCAGTATTGTGGCAAGCAGGTAAAGCCACCACCTGCAACACCATATCCCATATGGGCACCAGTTCAAGTCCTGGCTGCTCCACTTCCAATCCAGCTCTCTGTTAATGTGCCTGGGAAAGTGGTAGAAGATGGCCAAGTGCTTGGGCTCCTGCCACCCACACTGGGGATCTGAATGAAGCCCCTGGGTTACACATGGCGCATCCCTGGCTGTTGCAGCCATTTAGGGAGTGAACCAGTGAAACAGTGAACCAGTGGATGGAGATCTCTCTCTCTTCCTCTCCCTCCTCTTTCAAATAAAAATAAACCTTTTTTAAAAATTACTCTTATCAGACACTATTTGTAGACCCAGGTTTTAAAAAAAGAACGATTTGTCTCAAACGCAGGTAGAGAAACTCACTGACAAGGGTTCAGAGGTCAAAGGACTTTAATGTTCTTCAAGAAGTCAACATCAAACACCCACAACAGGGAAACAACATCTGGAACTCAGTGTCCCTCTTCTCAGAAACCACAGGGAAAGCAGCCCAGCGAACAGAGAAGGGAGCTAAACTGACTTTTAGTTGAACAGCATCATTGTCAAACAAAGAACAAACCAATCGACCTTCTCCCCTACCCACTGAAAGCAAACTACAAGCGAATTGCAAAACTTCTAGATCCTTTGCATGGAGCAGCTTGACAGAGAGGAGAGGAAGAACAGAGAGGGGCACAGATATTGCTAACATAGTGCTCTAATGAACAAGACCAAGGATTTAACAAATTCTAAGTCCCTACATGGATTATGGAGAACCGTTATTATTAGAAATAGAAATGCACAGAGATACAAACTATGTGTATTAGAAAGCAGATATTGTTATACAAACATATATAGTGTGTCATTTTTGTCCCTCTATGAGCATATCAGTATAAAGAAAGAGCTACAGTTTGTTCTTTTGTGTACAACTCCTCACTGCTCACCAGTCAGCGTTGGTCTTGATCAACAGGACCAGAGTCCAGGGGCCCCCTGCTATCCAGAACTTAGGATCTGGGCTGAGCATCTGGAGGGCCTCACCTGCCATCTAGACACAGTGAATTGCAGCTTGCATAATGAGGTCCACAGGCAAGTACTAAGATCTAGTTAGAAAAAGTAGCAGCAAAGACAAAATGAGCTGGAATTTGTTAGAAAGCAACAGAGAAATTATTTTCAAAAAGCTTCCAGTTTAAGTCAGAATAAAAGTGGCCATTGGCCGGTGGTCCCACCAGTGCTGCTGTCTGAAGCAAAAACAATCTATAATGAGCATAGTCATTGTATGTTAAGTTGGGTGGCCACTCCCCAGTTACTTTCTGTTTTATTCATGGTTCAAGGGCAGGGGATACACTGGTTAGGGTGTATTCATAGCTGATGCATCTCCAAAAAATTTTTCATGAAGGATGCTAGCTTCTGAACGTCTTCAATGGTGACAGCATTATAGAGAGAGACCCGGACGCCTCCCACGGACCTGGAACAACCAAGGACACAAGCATTAAGGGCAAAAGCATCCAAGTTAGCATCAAAACAACCTTCTGCAGTCACTTGCTGAGAGTGCCACCCAAGACTGCGGTGCCCAACCCCCCGCCTGAAGCCTCTGTGTCTCGGTCACTGGGAAAGTATCCTCTCCCCAGTGCAGGCCAATTACAATCCCCTTTAACAAAGGGGACAACAGGCGGGAAGAAAAGCTCAATGGGACCAAGGACCAAGATGGTGATGATGCCCACCAGGCTGTTCACAGGCCTGCACCACAGTGCCAGCCACATGGGCGCAGGGCAGCCAGCTCCAGTGAGACATTTATTAACTGTTCCACATGACGTTCAGCCGAGTGACAGTGGCCAGATCTGGGAGACAGGAGCTGGCCTCAACAGAGACAGGCGGCATGGCAACCTCTGTGCTCAGAGAGAGGTTTAAGATTTTCAAAGGTGGCTCCACTGTCCCTCAGCCAGGGAAGCCGGTTACGGTTCCATAAACAGCCAGAGGAAGGCGGACCCCGCGGTGACAGGTTTCCTCCACCAGTCCCACAGGTGCTGCTCCGAGCTGAGTGAGCCTCCTGGATTCCACACTGGAAAGCCGAAAGCAGCTCCCTGCTGCACTCCGGCGTTGGCCGTGCCCTCACCTGTGTCCTTTCAAGGAGATCATATGGAGCTCCAGGGCTTTATCGAGGAACCGTTTTTCTAAAGCTTCGTCCCCCTTGGCGTTGCCGATGCGGAATGGAATATTCATCATGCTTCTATTTCGGGGCTCCACCGGGCAGCTGAAAAACATGCGTTCTATTCCAGCTTGTGCTTCTCACTAACAAGGCTTCAGTTTTGGTTTTCCTTAAACATTTTTCTACATGCGCAGATGAGATTAATATTAAATACGCAAGGTCTAACGAAGACATAATTTATTTAAAAAGAGACCAGACTTTTCCCTATGCAACAGTGGGTGAGCATTCTGTTGTATGACTTAATTTCCACAAGCCTCAGTTTCCTTATCTGAATACTGGGAATACCAATAATACCTCTGTTTCAGACCAGCTGTGACACACCCATGGTACAACATACATGATGCTTCCAACACACGTCAGTCATGCAGCAAATCTGAAGCACTCTTTCTCTGTGAGGCTACACAGAAATAATAAATTGGTCCTAACAGCAGCTGTAAGACTCAAAAATTAAGGAGCAGCAGCTTTTAAAGGACTGATCATCTTCTGTTGTTCCAAGCTGTGTGGCCTTTGGCAAGTTAATTTTTTTTAAAGATTTATTTATTTATTTGAAAGTCAGTTACACAGAGAGAGGAGAGGCACAGAGAGAGAGAGAGAGGTCTTCCATACACTGGTTCACTCTCCAATTGGCCACAACTGCTGGAGCTGTGCCAATCCGAAGCCAGGAGCCAGGAGCTTCTTCCTGGTCTCCCATGTGGGTGCAGGGGCCCAAGGACTTGGGCCATCTTCTACTACTTTCCCAGGCCATAGCAGAGAGCTGAATTGAAAGCGGGACAGCCGGGACTAGAACCGGCGCCCATATGGGATGCCTGCACTGCAGGTGGCAGCTTTACCTGCTACACCACAGCGCAGGCCCTGGCAAGCTACTTGATCTTCCTCATCTGAACAGTAAGTCTTATGAAACCCACCTTAGGCTGTTGGGAGGACTCAGTAAGTCAGTACTTACAGAGAATTTCTGTTGATGTAAAGAAACCTAAAAACAGGTGGAATACAGCACTTTGCTTTTTTTTTTTTTTTTTTTAAAGATGTATTTATTTGAAAGGCAGAATGACAGAGGCAGGGCACAGGAGAGGGTGGAGAGAAAGAGAAAGAGATCTTCCATCTGCTGGTTCACTCCCCAAATGCTCCCAGCAGCCAGGGCTGGGCCAAGCTGAAGTCAGGAGCCAAGAACTCCACCCTGGTTTCCTATGTGGGTGGCAAGAGCCACCTTCTGCTGCTTTCGCAGGTGCATCAGCAGGGAGCTGGATCAAAAGTAGAGCAGCCGGGGCTCTAACCGGCACTCTAATATAGGAAGCCGCTTAACTCACTATACGACACCAGCCCTCAAATTCATTACTTTTTGAAGCTGATTGGTCTTGTGACTTGCTTTGGTCAGGAGATTGCAACAGAAGTGACTGTGCAATTTCTAAGCATAGGCCAACAGGCCTTGCAGCTCTTTGAGCAAGAAAAAAAGGTTATTGTTTTAAGCCATTAAGTGCTCCAGCGTTCTGTGATGCACAGAAACAGACTGATACAATTTAGAGGCTGGAGTTGTGGCACAGTGGGTTAAGCTGTAGCCTGCAACGCTGGTATCCCATATAGGTGCCAGTTTGAGTCCCGGATGCTCCACTTCTGAACCAGCTCCCTGCTAAAGCACCTGGGAAAGCAGTGGAAGATGGCCCAAGTACTTGGGCCCCTGCAGCCACCTGGGAGACCTGGATGGAGTTCCAGAGTCCTGGCTTTGGCTTGCCCAGCCCGCATCATTGCAGCCAGTTGGGGAGTGAACCTGCAGGTGGAAAATCTCCGTCTCTCCCCACCACCTTTCTGTCTCTCCCCCTCTGTAACTCTGATTTTTCAAATAATAAATAAATCTTTTTTAAAAATAGAGATAGCTGATATAAGTTAAGACTGTCTGGAACATATGAAATGTTATTAAGTATCTGTTGAATACAATAAATTCATCTTTTTATACCCAACCCCTTGCATTAAGACACACACAGAGACTCACAAAAAGGAATGAGTGAATTTTTGTCTATGAAAGCCAATATTATTTTCCATCGACAACAGAAGGAGATAAACGGAAGAAGAGCCAACAAGTCACTCTAGAATAAAAGAAAAGTACAACACAAAATAACGCTGTCATCTTTTCCCCTTGTCTCAAGTAGATCCTATTTTTATGTTAAACTTCCAAGGGATGGCATTCATTAAAGTTAAAGAGCAAATAAAAGCAGCGTGAGAAGCCCCCTGAGGGCACAATCACAATTGCTGTTAAAGTTAATAGGAGTCAAGTGCACACCTCCTGGCAGAAGAGAGGCAAGAAGCAGGACGAATACATGCAGCAGACTTTGAACCTGAATTCTGGGGCCCGGCTTTCCATAAGTCGGTTTTGTGGCCGGCATTTAAATTCAACACTCAGTGGCTACCCTGAGATTCTGCCACCTCTGCCTCCCAAGGTGAGGGTCTATTTGGAGAGGCAAAGCAACAAAAAGCGTATTTCATTTAAGAGAGAGAAGTTTAAAGCAGCAGAAATTAAGAATCAGTATTTAAAGTTCATCCCCCTCAAATTTACCAATCCTGTCCTGAAAGTGGAAGATATCACGAAGCAATAATGTCATAAATGCCAGAAATCAAAGAGAAATCACCACACTTTTATGTAGCTGCCTGGCAAGAGGACGCCTGGAAGGCGCCAAGGGTCTGGGGAGAGATCATGAGAAAAGACTGCTCCCAATCCACCCAGAGATGGCCCTGGAGGGGACCACAGTTCCACCCGAGAAGAGCTGAGACAGCAAAGGGCTGTGGAGGAAAAGAGAGCAGAACAAGTAATTTTGTAGGGAGAAGGCTGACGGGTTTCCGAGCAGGGCACGTGGGAGTGAGGACACAAGGAGAAGGGCACTGTGGCAGAGAGCTCTGCCGAGGCATGGAGGGCCGTGTGCATGCATGCTTGCTGGGGTCTGCACAGGATCCTTGAGCAACGAGAAATAGTCAGACTGGCACTACAATACGAGATCTGTATTTTAGAAAAATAACTACAGAGGCGGGTGAAGCCACTGCTTGTGATGCTGGCATCCCATTCGTGTCCTGGCTGCTCCACTTCCAATCCAGCTCCCTGATTAAGCGCCTGGGAAGGCAGCTGAAGATGGCTCAAGTACTTGGTCCCTGACACCAAAAGGAGAGGCCAGGAAGGAGTTCCTGGCTCTTGGCTTCAGCCAGGCTCAGACCTGGCTATTGCAGCCATTTGAGGAGTGAATCAATGGATGGAAGATTCATTCTCTCTCTCTCTCTCTCTCTCTCTCTCTCTCATCTATCTATATCTCTGTAACTCTGCCTTTTAAATAAAAATCTACAAAAAAATTCAGCCTGAATTTCATCACATCTAACAGAAATATAGTGCAAGCCACACACATAATTTAGAAAGAATTACAGCACATAGAGGGGACGGCAAGATGAAGAACTTGGAAGGCGGAGGAATGACCTTCTAGAAAGTTCTTATGAAGAACTTTCCTAAACAAAGGAATCAGAGCCTGTGAGCAAGCTGGAGCACTGGGGAGCTTCAAGCACAGGTGGCGCCTCCAAGGCCAGCAGGGCACCTGAGCACGCACGAAATGCGTGGAGCAGGCCAGTGCAACACGCACCACCACCTCCCTCGGTCAGATACTGAAGGCAGAGAAACAGGAAGGTACTTCAAAGTGTGGGAAAGCAGAATTAAAGAAATCATTTTATTTTTGCACAAGCAATTTTTGAAACCCATGCATTTTTTCCCTAACGTGCATTTACAACGAACCTTTTGAAGACCCTTCACATGCACGGATCTCAACATTTTTTGGCATCAAAGTAAAGATCGTTGAGTTCTACATCTCCATGAACTTAGTGAAGTTCCTTTGTAAGCTCTCCCTTTTTTCTTGAAACCCTTGGTCGCCCCGGTCAAAGCTTTTTTCTCTCATGTTCAGAGATACATGCACCGTGGAATGAGAAACCCAGATTTATACATATCTTCCAACATCCCTATACTGGCCCCAACACTGGGTGAGCCACATTGACCACCCTGGTGGGCTGTATTTGGCCTCTACTCCCCAGATTTTAAGCTCTGGATTCCACATGAAATTTCAGAAGAGGCAGGGTCTGTGGTCTGAATGGACTGAGGGCTAAGGTCAACTGAGAGGTTTAGTTTAGGCCCCAAGCAGGTGCTCTGTCAAGGATAGAGCTTCCAATGCCTGTGGTGGAGCATGGAGGTGGAGGATGCCAATGGACATCACTGTGAGAGCTGTTCCATGGGTCTCCATAGACATCTAGGAAATGCTGCATTGACAGAGTTAACCAGGGGTCTTGACTCCTGGCTTCCTGCAGCCCACAATGTGCTGCTCATGTGCATGACCCCCAGGAGGGAGTCTTCCAGGAACGTAGCTTTCCCTAAGCGTATTTGATTGGAAAACTATTCCCATTGAGAGGGTTAGAGAACCCCCCAGAAAAACACTGGGTCTTCTGAAGGCTTCAAAAGATGGGGTGGGGGTTATGTGGGAAGGCACGTGAGAGAGGCCCAACTCATGCAGGTAAAGAAGGCCAACAGAAAGCTGCAGGCCTGGTCAAGCAGCTGCAAGCCTAGAAGACCTGAAGGAAGAGAGAAGCCCACAAACACAGACACAGGCCCCTCCTTACTGCCTGGTCTGGTTAATAAACATACTTTTAATGTGCACGCCACTGTGAAAGTCTACAGTGAAATCAGGAAGCTGTTCATGCCCTTCTCACAGAGGTGGCTATCACTAACAGACTGGCATGTATTCTTCAATGTGTTTTAGATACATAAACACATGTGCACGCACATACATGTATACACGGATGATACAGGTGGATATATGGACATGCACATATGAGAAATAAAAGATAAATTTTGGTGCAAAAAATTTGAGCCGGCGCCGCAGCTCACTAGGCTAATCCTCCGCCTTGCGGCACCGGCACACCAGGTTCTAGTCCCAGTTGGGGCGCCAGATTCTGTCCCGGCTGCCCCTCTTCCAGGCCAGCTCTCTGCTGTGGCCCGGGAGTGCAGTGGAGGATGGCCTAAGTCTTTGGGCTCCTGCACCTGCATGGGAGACCAGGAAAAGCACCTGGCTCCTGGCTTCGGATCAGCACGGTGCGCCGGCCGCGGCGGCCATTGGAGGGTGAACCAACGGCAAAGGAAGACATTTCTCTCTGTCTCTCTCTCTCTCTCTCACTGTCCACTCTGCCTGTCAAAAAAAAATAAAAAATTTAAAAAAATTAAAAAAAAATTTAAATGCATACATAGTTTTTCATGAACTCTGTGAAGATCCCTTATAGGTATAGATATCAAAACTTCTGGCTCCCAAATAAATCATTTGAATCCATCTTTCCACAACCCTCTGAAGTACCCTTATACATAAGCAGTCACATGCCATGTAACAGCATTTGAGTCAAGGACGGACTGAACATCCAGCAGCAGTCCGGTAAGATGACATCATCAGTACCGCCACAGCCATCTCAGCTCAGCTGGAGCCTTGGGCTGCCCCTGGGTTTTCAACCCTCCATCCTCCACTGGACTTGTCGGTACATAAAAGCCCTTAGTCAAGGGGCAAATGAGTTTTGATGAATAGTGCAAACTTAGGTCCAAATTTGAACTCCTACCAAAAGCACATTACTTTGCACCAGATGTTACAAATCTTTTTAATTCCCATTGATCAAAGGCAAAATCCCTTCAGTTTTAATCTGCATTTCATAAAGAACCAAGGAAACTGAGAATCTTTGATTTTTGTTAGCCAGCTGTATTGCTTCTGAGTTGTTTAATCACACTGTTTAGCAACCAACTCCTGTTCCTGTTTTTATTTGGTTACTCTTTTTCCATTCATTTGCAGGTGCTTGCTTCCAATCCCAGCCTCCCGCAAATGCACTCAAGTGCTTGGGCCCCTGCCATTCATATGGGGGACTCAGACTGAGTTCCTAACTCCTGGCTTTGCCCTGGCCCAGCCCTGGCTGTTGTGGTCACCTGGGGAGTGAATGAAGATCACTCTCTTGTCTGTCTTTCCAACTGTCTCTCTGCTTTTCAAATAAAGTGAAAATAAGTAGTAATTTGAAAATATTTTTAAATTTACTTTTGAGTTTAAATTCACATGGTTTCGTAGTATTAGACTGTATGTTAAGTTCATTCCTTAACATTTTTCTATTTTAAAAAATTTCAGCTATCCTTTTGCATGAACTGAGCAGATGAGAATTTGCACTGATTTCCAGATGCGTCCTAATTCTTGTGGCTATTATGAATGGGCTCCTTCTTCCTCATTGCAGTCTTGTTACTTCTGGAGTGTGGACCCGCAGCCGACCCTTACACTTCATGCTGTCAGGGATCACAATCTGATTGGACAGGTCTTAAGTTTTTCTGTTGATTCTTGAATCTTTCATATAGAAATTCACTTCATCTACAAACCAATTTTTGCCATTTCCTCAATGCAGTAATTAAGGAGCAGCGTGGGCCCAGGGAATGAGCGCCTGTGGCCTATCCCCTGTTCATACCCTGGCTGATGGCTCCTCCCAGTGGCAGCCTGGACCTACCTGTCTGTGCCTCTGTGAAACGGCTTCAGGTCTTCTTCACCATTATCCATGCTGCTTTCTCTCTCCCTAAGTTGATGAAGGTGACCTCACAGCAGGATATGGAATCTGTCAGTGTGCTCAATAAAAGGGCTGCCTTACAAGCCAGGGGACGCAAAAGGGGTGCATCTTACAGAAGGAAAAAAGAGCAGGGTCGGGCATCTGGAACACCTGCATCCCATACTGGAGTGCCTGGTTTCAAAGCTCGGGGGGGAAAAAAGGCAGGAGATTCCCAGCGTTCCCTCTATGCCTTCTTATTTTGTTCCTAATTCCCTGGATTCTTTCCCTCTGATTTCATGCTTGTACATCTCCTGAGAAACATATGGAGCCAAAAGCGAACAGAAAAGTACGTGTCTCCTCCCTAATCACTGCCAAGAGCTTCCATTCACATTCAGGTTCTGGGTGCCCTTTGGGAGTCAGAGAAGATGACTCACTCTTCTGGGTACCCCAGGATCCCAGAGTGGGTGCTCAAGAGCCATTGGGGCCAGCGCCGCGGCTCAATAGGCTAATCCTCTGCCTGCGGCACTGGTACCCCGGGTTCTAGTCCCAGTCGGGGCGCCAGATTCTGTCCCGGTTGCCCCTCTTCCAGGCCAGCTCTCTGCTGTGGCCAGGGAGGGCAGTGGAGGATGGCCCAAGTGCTTGGGCCCCGCACCCCATGGGAGACCAGGAAAAGCACCTGGCTCCTGCCTGCGGATCAGTGTGGTGTGCCGGCCGCAGCGCACCAGCCGTGGCGGCCATTGGAGGGTGAACCAACGGCAAAAGGAAGACCTTTCTCTCTGTCTCTCTCTCACTGTCCACTCTGCCTGTCAAAAAAAAAAAAAAAAAAAGAGCCATTGGATGGATGGATGGACGGATGGATGGATGGATGAACAGGTAGATGGATGGATGGACAGATGGGCAGATGGGTGGAAAGACGGATGGATGAATGAACAGGTGGACTAAGCAGGTCCGCATGCCTTTCCAGTCTTTCCTTCCAACCCTGCATGAGCCATCCTCACCAAGCAGCCCATCTTCTGCTCCTTAAATACACCATACTTTCTTCCCTCAGAGCCTCTCTGAACGCCATCTCTGCCTTCCTAAAAGTTCCTGAAAGTACTTCTGCCTGCTGCCTATTTTGACTCACATCCAAGGCTCAAGTTCAAACAAGAACCCTCTTTTCCCCTCCTACCAAACAGTAGCTCACTGTTCCAAGCTCACACCACATTCTTTAGCCCTTGGCACCGAGCTCCTTGGACAATCTACTACCGACCATGCATGCTAAAGTGGCTCCAGCGTCCTGGCTCCCCTTCATACGTGAGGGACCAGGATGGAAGCTTCTCTGGGACTGAACCCCACAGGCTGCACTTAACTCTGTTGCACAGAACCACAGAGTGCATCCCTTCACCTAGATGGCACACAGGAGAGAAGTCCAAAGGCCAAGGCATCCAGCCAAGATTTTCCCATCTCTCCCTGCACTTGCAGCTGCAAGGCCACTGCATGCCAAGAGCTCACAGGAACAGGCAACAAGAAAACACTGTAAGGGCAGAGGTAGCAGGAGCACACTGCTTTTTCTAGGCCGTCCAAAAAGTATGCCCCACGAGTGCTTATGGAGCTATGCTAGTAAGTTTTGGTCTAAATATAAAACCTAAATAAGGACTGAGGTGTGGTGTGGTTTTTTTCTATTCCAGTGGCCCATGAAATTCTCAGAGTGCAAATACCCTCATGATTGCCAGGCACATATTTTATTTTTACAATGAACAGAACTCCACAGAACAATGACCATTATGGATGGGGGTCCTGACACGGTAAATAAGTATGAATGTTTATGCATGTGTGTTTATACACACACATATGCACATACACACAGGCACAGACACTGCATCAAGCCTGGTCTCTGTCCATCAGTGCCCACACAGAGGGAGAGTGAAGAGCAAACAAAGGTTTCACTTCCAATGCATGGAATGCATGATGCACACAGGTATTGCTCCAGGTACTTCATCCATGGCATTTTGGCGAGCAGTCTGATGTAGTGGCTAGAGTGGTGGCCATGGACATGGTCCATATCCTAACCCCAGATTCTGCAAATATAACCTCTTTGGAAAAAGGGTTTAGGGGCCGATGTTGTGGCACAGTGGGTTAAGCTGCTACTTGCAGTGCTGCCATCCCATAGCAGAGTGCCAATTTGAGTCCTGGCAACTTCAATTCTGACCCAGCTTCCTGCTAATGCCCAAGTACTCGGGTCTTTGCCACACATATGGGAGACCCGGATGGAATTCTGGGATCCTGGCTTTCGCCTAGACCAGCCCCAGCTATTGCAGCCATTTGGGGAGTGAACAAGCAGATGGAAAATCTCTGTCAGTCATTCAACCTTTCAAATAAATAGAGAAGGGAAGGGAATAAAGAGGAAACTAGGGAAGGGGAGGGGAGGGGAGGGGAGGAGAAGAGAGGAGAGGGGAGGGGAGGGGAGGGGAGGAGAGGGGAGGGGAGGGAAAGGGAGGAGAGAAGGGTCTTTGCAGATCTAATTGCATGAAGGAGCTCTAGATGGGATCATCCTGAATTCTCTAGGGGGCCCTAAGTGACCTGTCCTTGCAGAAAGACACATGCAGAAAGGAGGCCACGTGAGGACAGAAGCAGGGATTGGTGATGCAGCCAGGAACCAAGGACTACCTGGAGCCACCAGAAGCTGGGAGGCAAGAAATGGATTCTTTCCTAAAGTCTCTGGAACAGCAGAGTGCTGAGGACACCCTGACCCCCCACTTCTGACCTTTGGAACTGGGAGAGGAAGTTTTATTGTTTGAAACCACCAAGTTTTTCATCCTTTGTCATGGCAGCCCTAGGAAATGAACACAAACCCCCTACATTTCTGCAGTCCTTACAATGCTGGTCCAGTGGTCAAGTCATACCCATTAGCCTCTTGGTCATGACACATTCAAGTTGTGTCATCCCAGGCCGTAACCACTTCCATTCACAGACCACAGTCCTGAGATAGGAGCACCTGTTCTGCACAGGGAGGCTGGGGTGACACACGGAAGCAGAGGCCACCCCCTGCACGGGACACAAGACCACCCGCCCTTACCAGCACTTTCACATCTCAGAGAACAATGAATGTCTGCTTTTCACAGCTATGCAGCATGCACAGTTTTAAATTCACGAGAGACAAAATGTGAGATGAAATTAATCAACTTACACGTAGAATCCTTGAGAGTTATCGATAATTTCATAAATCATTTGAGACTTGATGGTGCTGAGTTTCTTCATGGCAGCTGCCCCACCATTGTTCTTAATCCACTCCAGGACCAAGCCCATGACATAGATGCTAAAAGGAAGAGTTAAAAAAAAAATTTTGTGTGTGCAGTCCAGTGTGCAAAAGGGGACAGTCATGCAAGCAAACTGCTACATTGCATTAAAACACACTTAAGGATATATTAGAAACAGACAAGATAAAAGCAGGCCACATGTCAGCAAAAGCACAGGATGAAACAGGCAATGGGGTCAACCCAAGCCAGACCCCTGAAGGCCACTCAGAACAACAGGCTTGGGAGCCAGTGTTGTGGTACAGCAGGTTAAGCTGCCGCCTATGATGCCAGCATCCCATGTGAGTCCCTGTTCAAGTCCCGGTGCTCCACGTCCAATTCAGCTGCCTGCTAATGCACAAAAGAAAGTAGCAGCAGATGGTCCGTGTGCTTGGGTCCCTGCACCCACATGTGAGACCCAGACGGAGTTCCAGGTTCCTGGGTTCAACCCAGCCTAGCCTCAGCTAGGTAGCCATGTGGGGAAGTGAACCAGTAGATGGAAACCAGCTCGCTCTCTGTCTTTCCCTTTCTCTAATTCTGTCTTTCAAAGAAATAAACAAACAAAATTGGAAAAACACCTCACTGGACTGATAGCACCTGAGTCCCTCCCTCTGCAGCCCATGCCCCAGTGTACACTCCTCAAGACACCGGCATGCACCTGCCTAGCCCCTCCACAAGGCATTATCAGGCCCCCTCCCAGTGTTTCCTCTTCGATCCCAAGGATCGAAGGATTAAATCCCCAGGATTTAAGGGAGTGTACACACTCCCTTAAATTTTAATCATTTCCTCCTTTACATTTCTGTGTGCCTCTGATAGGGACTCTATACTCTTATTACAAGGCTAGGAGCACAGACTACTCATCTTTTCTGGCCCACAGTCCTAGCTCAGTGCCTTCCCCCTGAAAGAGAAGCAGTGTGGCACAGTGGTTACAGCCATCAGCTCCCTGCCACAGGTCTGCTTCCAGCCCAAGTGCTGCCTCTCACAGAGTACCCAGAAATCAGAGCCTCAGTTTCCCATCTGGAACAAGAAGACCCACTTACCTAGGGTGGGCACCTGGCATTTTACCTGCCCTGCTCTACCCTGTCACCCAACATGCAGGCCCAAAAAGGGACCCTTGCTCACTGATCTCAGAGCTGTGTATGGGGCCTAAATGGACCAATGAGAAGCTTCCCTGGGATTTTCTGAATTGGGAGTGAGGAAGAAGATGCAACTGTGAGACCCCCAGGGAAGATGTTTCTAGCATACGTGTGAAGAGGGCTGTCTGAAAAACTGAAGGCAACATTCCAGCAGAGAAGCAGGGTCAGACGGGGAAGGCAGATGGCATGGGAGTGGCATCCTGGTACCCAGGGGCCCCGCTGCACCTGGTACTTCCTGCAGCTTTGGGCCATCCCCTTCTGGGCAGGAATTTCAAGTTCCAGCGAGGGTAGCTCATGGACTCTGCCAAGAGTCCTCTTCCCAGCCAGAGGCCTGCCAAGGGAAGACCCTCACAGGGACTGGCTTGTTCACGGGTCCAACCAGGCAGGACACGGACCCAGGAGCTTCCACCTCCAGGAGGCAGCAGAAGCCAATGCTGGGCTGCCCAGAGATGCCTGGGCAGAGAGCAGCCAACAGCCAATAGCCTTTCTGGGAGGTGCCCAGCCTGGCTCCCCACACAGGGCTGGGAGGAGAGAGCAAGGGTGTTGGTGGCAGAAAGGGAAGAGAGGGTAGAGTGGTAATTTACAAGCTCAGATGTGGCCCCCTGGACAGACTGACAAGTCAGAGGGACAAAGATGGAAGAAAGCAAGAGAGAGAAACTCACACTTACTGAAGTCCACAGTAATAGCTTTATTGATCACAATAATCCTGAGGTCACAGTCACCATTATCCCATTCTACAGATGAGGAAACCAAGGTCCGGAGAACTTAACTTGCCTGAAGTCACCCAGCAAGTGGCTGATAAAGCCAGGATTCCAATCCCTGTCTGGCTAACTTCACAGCATGAGGTCTTACCACTGGCACCAGAGCCCTCTGGTTTGCCACGAGCTGCAGATCCTCAGCCACGAGCTTACCAGCTTGTGGGGCGAGTGGGCTGTCACTAAGTCCAGCTGCTGCGGGACACACAGCACACAAGCACAGAGAACGCTGTGCACCCCTCACTGACTCAGGATGCTCTAGACCTTCTATGTAACCCCAACCTGTTCCTCTCCCACCTCTGCCACCTGCTCCCCACTGGGGAACCACAGAATCGCCCTGCCCGGCTACCTGATCCATGCAGAGCCACTGCCAGCACTTGTAAGAGGCCCTGCTTCGTTTTTCCCAGCAGGGGTTCCAAGCTGCTATTTCTCCAGCCAAATCCAAAGCCGCGGCTTTGCCCCAGCCAGACCTCAGTGGCTGCGTCCCTGCTCACTGCCCACGCCCTCTTGTTTTCTTACGGGATGTGAGCAGGCAGGGGCAGCGTGAAGCCCAGCCACTTGTATAGACTGCCCAGAGCCAGTCCCCGGAGCCCGAGTCTACGAAGCCCCAGCAAGAGCAGAGGCTGTCCTGGAGGCCAGGAGACAGTCGAGTGGCCTCACCCAGCCCTGCGCACACCACGGATGTCTGGCCCCTGTGACTCCTCAACGCAAGGCCCTCATTTAGTACTAACTCATAACCCAAACCTCAAAAACACAGAGGCCCCAAGACGCTAACGTAAGTTGGCTACTTGGCCCCACTCCCAGTTCAACACTTTCAATGATTCACTCATTCACTTCTAAAATTCCATCACAACACAACAGGTTTGCCACCTAAGCCTGTCCATTTGTTCAGTGGGATTCTATACAGATGTTAAAAGAAAAATAAGAGGCATTTGAGTCCAGCTTCCTGCTAATGCAGGCCTTGGAAGGCAGTAGTGATGACTCAAGTAATTGGGTCCCTGCTACCCACATAAGGGATCCAGATTGGGTTCCTGGGTCCTGGTTTCTACCTTGGCCTTTGTGGGCATTTGAGGAGTGAACAAACAGAGGGGAACTCTCACTCTGATAATTAGAAGCAAGAATACACATACACACACACACACCACACACACACACACACACCACCAGAAAACTCTCCCTGGCTTTTGGGAAAAGTTTGGCTCTGGGATGAGCCTCTGGAGTTGATGCTGTGCCCAAAGTTTCTCCTGAGCCAGGGAAAGCAACCACCAGGTTGGGCACTTTTCCCAAGGACAGCTCCCAAAGATGGGCCTGGGACAGCCCCTGTCTGCAGATTTTAGGGCTCACACTTCTCCCACCCCATGCAAGGGGAAGCAGCCTTAGGCCGGCTGATCCCAGGAGCAGGCCCACAGCTTAATGTGCAACCCCTATTCTGACAGGTGAGGTGGCCTGGTGCATGGATTCTTTTTTTCGCATTCTTCTTAATTTCTTCATCTCATCCTATGGCCAAAGCAAGTTTATGCTCGTTAGCCACAAGTTGGCCATAAGTCAAAGCAATGTTATGGTTCAGGAGGGAAGTTTGGGCATCTTTTTCCCTATGTGTTGATTGGGGTCAGGGTGTTCCACTGAGGGGTTAAAGAGAGCGATGCTGTGGTTCTTTATTCCGCCCCAGTTCACCGTTTCAGGCTGCAGGCAACTATCTGAAGCCCCGTTTCCCAGCAGGGTCACCGGAAGTTCCTACAGTCTTCTGTACAAAACTAAAATGACATAGGAGAACAGGTTTTCAAGGTCATGTACATCATTCTGGGCATCTCAGGAGCCCCGCAGTGGAAGGCGGGGAGGGGACTGTGTATAGAGCTTTATGTCTCCACGTGGACGCTGTTCTCACCATGTGAGCTCCGGCTATCTCACCCTGAATGCCAACCCTGACACAGGAATGCACACATCTGGGGTTATTCCGCAATCACACAGAACAGAGCTTTTCAACCTTTCTCTTCTGTTGGGGTTAAAGAAAGCAAAGCAACCTCCAGAGGGTATTCTGGGGGGTATCTTGGGATCAGAAAATACTGACTCTCTTGTCTTTCATTTTCTGTATTTACAAGATTTTCATCATATCACAAACACTGCTACCCCAAGCTGACCCCGGTTATCATGGTACCCATCCATCTGGGGAAGAAACTGTTGCCTCATCTGTCCTGATTTCTGGCTCAACCTGTCCTCAGGCAGGAATGCTCTCTGGAGGGGCCACCTGCCTCTCCCTATCCTGGTCCCTACAGCCATGGGGCTCGCTGCCAGGTCAATGCCTGGACACCTTTCTAGGACCTCGTCTCTGGACCTCCAGACATTCACCTCCCACCAGACAGAACGGCGTGCTTCCTCAGTGGTCCCTCAAACCGGCCTTCACCCTGATACAAACAAGCACCTATCACTGTGCTTGTCAGCTTGCAAAAGTGTGTCTGGGAGCGGCACTACAGTACAGTGGGTTGAGACGCCTCTTGCAATGCTGGCATCCTACATCAGAACGCTGGTTTGAGTCCCAGCTGCTTCACTTCAGATCCAATTTCCTGCTAATAACGTGCCTGGGAAATCATTGAATGATGACTCAAATATGTGGGGCCCTGCTACCCACAAACCCATATATAGGAGACCAGGATGGAGATTCTGGCTCCTGGCTCCAGTCTGGCCCAGCCCCAGCTATTGCAGCCAGCTGGGGAGTACACCAGCAGATGGAAGATCTCTGTCTGTATGTCTTTCCATCTCTCTGTCACTCTGGCTTTCAAATAAATATATCTGCTTTTTAAAAATGGCTAAGATGATGAACTGGGTATCTAGAGTATGCCTCTCTGGACCCTGATCAGAACTCGCTGGTCTTCAGGCTACACTTCAGGGACAAAACTTCTTTGTGTCCTCTTACCTTCTCACTTCTGAAGCCCCAGGAGCCCTTGGCCTCCCTGTGAAAGATTCATCTAACTGAGGCAGACCCTGGCCTCACCCTCTTTTTTTTTTTTTTTTGACAGGCAGAGTGAGAGAGACAGAGAGAAAGGTCTTCCTTTTTCCATTGGTTCACCCCTCAATGGCCTCTGTGGCCAGTGCACTGCACTGATCCAAAGCCAGGAGCCAGGTGCTTCTCCTGGTCTCCCATGCAGGCACAGGGCCCAAGGATTTGGGCCATCCTCCACTGCACTTTTCCAGTATAGCTCTGTGCTCTCTGCTGGACTGGAAGAGGAGCAACCGGGACAGAATTTGGCACCCCGACCAGGACTAGAGCCCAGGGTGCCGGCGCCACAGGCAGAGGATTAGCTTATTGAGCCGCGGCACTGGCCATGGTCTCACCTTCTAACAGGTGACCATGGCCACCTCCCCGTGCCTGCTACGGCAGAGCCTGCACCTTAGCACCCACTCCGGGAGCCCTGCACTTGAGGCCCCCAACTCTGCCTTTCTCAGTTGGCCAGTGACCACCAGTGTTTTCCCACTGCCCACACTCCAGAGGCAAGACAGGTGAACAGGACACAGGATTCAGCCCTGCCCACCACCCCTGATGTGCACGTTAGCAACGTATTCAACTGGGCTGCCAGAGTGGAGTTTAGAGATGACCTGCAGAGTTAGCCCTCAGAACACCCCAGTCCCTGAACAGAGGTCAGGGGGACAAAATGAGACCCAGCACCTGGTGAAGGCAAGTGTTCAGCCCAGACCCAGATGGAACGAGCGACTCAGGTCCTTGGACCCAGAGACGCCCTCCTTTGGTATCAGAACATCCTCCCCTCCTGGGAAAGCCTTGTTGGGCAGAAGAGCTGGAGTCCAAGAGTGAACAGTTTTCTTAAGACAAAATCTTCCCCACACAACAAAGCCACAGAGCACCAAGGCTACGCCTACCCAGGAAGCAGAGCAGGGTGCCTGGCTTTGAATCCCAGCAAGGCCACTTCCTAAAACATGACCTTGACCTCCTCACTTGCAAAATGGGAAGAAGCATAACCACAGTGCCCGCCTTGTGGGATGGCTAGCAGGACTAAAGTGTCCTACACACAAAGTTTCACAGCTTTCTATCACTGCTGCCCTAGACAAACCCATCCACTGTGGTCCCTCCCTGTGCCCGCCCCTTCTGAGGCTCTGGGAACTAGCAGCAGCCATGAAAAGCAAGCAGCTACCACTGCTGAATCACTCAGTTGCCAGAGCCTTAAAAAGTAGTGCAATATGCACACACACACACACACTGCTATGATTTGGCTATGGTCTGTCTCTTGCAAAAATTGAAATGTAATCCCAGATTTAAGTATTAAGAGTGTAGAAAGGTGGGGCCGGCGCTGTGGTATAGCGGGAAAAGCTGCCGCCTGCAGTGCCGGCATCCTATATGGGCACCGTTTCTAGTCTTGGCTGTCCCACTTCCAACCCAGCTCTCTGCTATGGCGTGGGAAAGCAGTAGAAGATGGCCCAAGTCCTTGGGCCCCTGGACCCGCATATGAGACCTGGAAGAAGTTCCAGCTCTTGGCTTCAGATTAGATTAGCCCAGCTCTGGCTGTTGCAGCCATTTGGGGAATAAACCAGCGGATGGAGGACCTCTCTCTCTCTCTCTCTCTCTCTCTCTGATTCTCTGTAGCTCTTCCTTTCAAATAAAATAAATAAATCTTTTAAAAAAAAAAAAGAGGCTGGTACCACGGCTTACTAGGCTAATCCTCCGCCTGCAGCGCTGGCACCCCGGGTTCTAGTCCCGGTTGCTCCTCTTCCAGTCCAGCTCTCTGCTGTGGCCCGGGAAGGCAGTGGAGGATGGCCCAGATCCTTGGGCCCTGCACCTGCATGGGAGACCAGGAGGAAGCACCTGGCGCCTGGCTTCGGATCGGCACAGCACGCCGGCCACAGCGGAAGGAAGACCTTTCTCTCTGTCTCTCTCTCACTAACTCTGGCTGTCAAAAAAAAAAAAAAAAAGGAAGAGAGTAGAATGGTAACCTAGCAATGGTGTTTAAAGAAGCCTCTGGGAGGATCTCAGGATTAGATAAAGTCGCAAGGCTGGTGACGCATGACATCTGGTGGCTCTGTAAGAACAGGCAGAGACCAGACACAAGTGCACGCTCCTTGTCTCTCGCCTTGCAATGCCCCGCAGCACTTCAGAACTCTCCCACCTCAAGCATCCCCAGACACAGCCCGTTGACCCTGGGCCAGAACCATGACCCAGAATAAACTTGTCTGAGAAAGTAAGCTTTTCTAGGGGACTTCCTTGCAACACAAAACAGATGCATACATACCTACACCCTTATACAACACGTATCTCGTCTCGTAATCCTCACAACAACCCAGTGAGGAGAGCACTTTTCCTTCTCCTAAAGGAACCTACTGCACAGACAGGTGAAGGGATTCTTAGGCAACTGGACAGGTGGAGGAACCTCTTAGGCAACTGTCAAATCCTAGGTACTGTGACAAAATACCTGAATCTGGGAAGTAAGACAACTCCGTACAGAATGAACTCACAAGGCAGCCTCCCCCTCAGCTAACAAAAAACAGGGACATCTGCAGATGGGGTTAAAAAAAAAAAAATAGAAAAGCATTCCAAGCCAGTGTGCTTGCTGTCAGGCAGCCAGCTCCACACAGGCTCAGCAGGCAAAAGAAAGGAAGGCGAGGGAGGCCCAGCCTTTGAAAGTGCTTCCTCCAAAGCGGCCCTGGTTGTTTGTGATGCAGGCCACGGCTCTTCAGCTGCAGACAGTTCTGGGGTTAATGGTGAACCACAGGGCCTGGAATACTAAGATCAAAGAAAAACAACACCCCCTGTGCCCCCAAAAAGTAAAGAGCAAGAAGCAGAGTGATCCATCAGAGGACAGAGGGTCAAGAGGGAGAGGTGGGTCGAGCAGAGGATCCAGACGGGACATGTGGGGTGAAGATACTCGAAAAAGCCACCTCCGCTTTGATGGGGAACCGTGAGACGCCATCCCAGGGTTACCTGAAACACGGGGGCGTGTTGTACAAGGAGCTGCTTGTGGCCTGCACTTTGTACTCCAGGACAGAGGGGCACTCTCGGAGGGCGAACCCCAGCAGGTCATCGCGGACGATCACCACCGTGACTCCTGCAGCGCCCACGTTCTTCTGAGCGCCAGCAAAAATCACACCAAACTGAGAAAGAGAAAGACGTGACATGACAGAGCACCTGGGCAGTTTTCATCAACACACACAAACTTCCCGACCTCTTCTACAAGCACAGTTTTTCTCCACTCCCGGGCAGACAGCATGTCCTGTTCTACAGGCATCTCCTGCTGGACGGCAGAACTGGACAGCAGGGCAGGCCTGGGGATGCCACCCGGACGATCCGTGCACCCACTCCCATCCACTTGCATATGTTTCTTAAAGATTTATTGACTTTTTTGAAAAGAAAGATTACAGAGAGAGAAGGAGAAAGAGAGAGAGACAGAAAGAGAGAGAGAGAGAGAGAGGTCCTCCATCTGCTGGTTCACTCCCCAAATGGCCACAATGGCCAAAGCAGGGTCTGTCTGAAGCCAGGAGCCAGGAGTCAGGAGCTTCTTCCAGGTCTCCCATGTGGGTTCAGAGACCTAAGCACTCAGACCATCTTCCACTGCTTTCCCAGGCCATTAGCAAGGAGCTGGATCAGAGCTGGAGAAGCCAGGACTCGAACTGGTGCCCATATGGGATGCAGGTACTGCAGGGGGAAGCTTAACCTACCATGCCACAGGGCAGGCCCCTGTACATCTCCTTTCCACATGCAAACCAGTCCTGGAAATGGGGCCTCTAACTATCCTTGGCAACTAAGAGAAAAGTTTGTTTTATGGTTTTTATAACTGTTGGAAATTACAAAAAATGTAAAATTTATTATTTTAATATTGTTTGAAGTAAAATCAAACTAAATATTTGAAACTACTGAAATTTTAAATTACTTAAATGTTTTATTTTGTGTATAAAGGGATAATCAGAGGCTCTGAGAAAGGGACTGCTATGACAAGAAGTGATGGGACACGCTGCCACAGGGGGAACACCTTTAAAAAATATTTATTTATCTTCATTTTTTATTAGGAAGCCAGAGAGACAGAGACAGAGAATGAGAGAGAAAGAGAGAGAGAGAGAGAGAGAGAGAGAGATCTTCCATATACTGGTTCTCCCCAAACGTCTGCAACAGCTAGAGCTGGGTCAGACCCAACCTGGGTCTCCCACATGGGTAGCTGGGACCCAAGTACTTGAGCGAATACCACTGCCTACCAAGGTCTGCATTAGCAGGCAGATGGAATCAGGATTGGAACCAGCATTTGAACCACGGCCTCTAATACAGGATGCAGTTGTCCCACGTGGCATCTTAACTGCTACACCAAATGCCAGGAAAAGAAATTTTTGAAAAAAAAAAACATTTCAAGATAACTTGGGAAATTTTGTTGTGCAAGATATAGAACACTCTCCCATATCTCTTCCTGAAACCTCTGGGAAAATCCAGTGGTGGGTTGGGGGCAGGATTTATGGTTGACGTTACTTAGAATTGCCAGGGCCTGGAGAGAAAAAAGCAGACTACAAATCAAGCATGGCATATCCACAGAACGAAATGTTATTCCACCTTAAAAGAAAACAGCTTTAACCCACACGTGACAACGGATGAACCCTGGAGATGTTACACTAAGTGAAATGAGCCAGATACAAAAGGCCAAGTATTGCATCACTCCACAGACAGGAGACACCAAGTAGAACAGAGGCTTGGGGGGCTGAGGTCCTGGAGGAATGGGGAGTTAGTGCTCAATGGGCAGAGCTTCAGTTGGGGAAGCTGAGAGTCCTGGAGATGGATGATGGGAGTGTTCCTAATGCCAATGGACTGTACACTTAATGCCGAAACAGCACAGTTTGTGTTACATACACCTTACCACACCTTCTATTAAAAAGGCAGATTACCGCTCGGCTCAATTGTTTTTAACTCCTCAACCTCTTTCCCTTTGTTGTATGCACTGACCTCCTACAGCGGTCCTGCTGCCCGGCTTGGTGACCTACTTTTAAAGTCTACGTGCCCTGGCAATGTGTTTAGAGCTGAAGTGGGCCTAAGGCAGCAGAAAATGGGGGTGGGGGTTACTCCTTCACACAGGTCCTGTGAGCTTGGATAATCTGCATCTGCTCTTAAAAAGGACAAGTCACTCACAGTGTGCGGACTATCAAGGCACTTCAGTGCGACCCTTTGAGGTACCACTGTCACTGGGCTGGGACTGTCAGGACTTAAACATTTTGACAGCTGGCAATAAGCAACAGCCAGCCTGCTCACTGACAGCTGCCCTGGCACTAGAGGCCCAAGGACCCTACATTCCTTCCTGTTCCTATACTTATTAAAACATCCAAGCAAGCATTTGGCACAGCAGGTAAAACGCTGGCATCCCACAATGGGGCGCCTGGCTCCAATCCTGGTTCTTGCACTTCCAATGCAGACTCTTGCTAATGTGCACCCTCAGGAGGCAGCAGATGATGGCTCAAGTGCTTGCGTCCCTGCCGCCATGAGGGAGGCCTGGATTGAGTTCCAGGTTCCTGGCCTCAGCCTGGCCCAGACTTTGCTTTTGCAGGCATTCAGGGAGTAAACCAGCAGAAGGAATATCTCTGTCTGTCTTCAAAGTAAAATGAAATTAAATACAAATTGAATAAACAAATGTCCCCAAAGAAACAGAAACACCACATCCTCCTCCCATCTAGTCTCTTCTTACTGTACCTTGGAAACGTCCACTGGCCTGGAGAGGAAGTTTGAGGACATGTCACACACCAGGATGGCCCCCTTGACATCAGGTACGAAGTCAAACTCCACGCCGTGCACCGTCTCGTTTGCGCAATAATACACATAGGAGGCATCTGGGTTAAGGTTCCAGGTGCTTGGATCTGGGATTTCTGTCACAGAAGACAAGTCTGAGACTTCCTTATTCTCCCTGTTCCTTGGATAGATGGGGGTCGCCCCAGAGGCTAACACCTCTCCCCCCGCAGTGAGGACTAAATGACCCCAAAGCACATCACAAGCAAAAGCAGCTGACCAGTACTCCACAGCCGTCATCACCACCAGCATCCTACAAGGACGACTGATCCCACCTGTTGACTGCTACTGGGTACAAGCATGGCACAGTGGATATCGGGGATATTTTCTTGTCACTTTGCATACAGTAACCCTATGTCCAGTGACGGTCCTGCAGTTCCCTCTGGGGACCTCAGCCCTCACTCTCAGCCCATGTAATCCAAGCTCCCAGAGGGAGAATGTGACTGAGGCACAGCTACTGTGACTGATGCCAAAGGCATCTATGAGTCTTTGCTCCAGCAAAGGCACTGCAACTTGGGATATCTTAAGGTCAGAAGCTGCATCAATCATCTCCCAAGAAAGAGGGGGCATCTTTTCCTGGACTGTGGAGCCCCCAGGGAGGAGACTGGGAAGGACGCCAGGAACTGAGGACATTAGGAGAGCCCTTGATCAAGCCGTACCTAAAGCCAACCCAGCCCCTGGGTTTTTCTGCTAAGTGAGCCTGTGAGTAATCCTTTTGCAGAAGCTAGTTAGTAGTCTTAACCAGTACAGCCACCCATTCTAACTACTGACAAGGTGAGGAAGGAAGGGGACTCCCTTGCCAGCATTTCGCTGTCCAGCTGAGCTCCCAGCGCTTACTCGTGTAACTCCCCAGTTTAGGGTGGACAATATTCACGGTCCCAAACTTCTTAGCTTCTTCTGCAGCCTTTGCTGACCAAGCTCCTGTCACCACATAGTCAGCACACCTTCCTGGTTTCAGGCCAATCAGGTTTAACGGGACAGCACTGAACTGGCCACAGCCACCTCCTTGCAGAAAAATCACCTTGTAGTTGTCTGGAACGGCTCTGGGCGGAAGAAAGAGGTACAGTGAATACCCAGACTCGCAAGGTCAAAGATGGGGAATCAGTGCTGCTTCTCCAAGTGCTTCCCCCCTCGCTAGATGTACTGCAACAAACATGGTAATGTCCCACTACTGCTTTGTCTTCACTAATTCAATCCCATATCTATGCACTCCTTGGACAATTAATTCTTGGGGATTATGCTGAAAGCCTACGTTTACTGTTTGGACAGGAACTCTTCCTCCTTTTCTTAGCCCTTTAAAGCACCATCCCTCTGCTACTCCTAGTCCACATGGTTCAACCACAGCCAACCCCAGCTCAAACAGATGACCCAAGCTGGTGAACGGAGTGTAGTTCTAAGCCCTCTGCTCAAACTTCTAAGTAAGAGAAGCTGTTTCTACTGAGGGAAAGAAAAACCTTGTAGCAGCTCATCCTATAAATGGAAATATCACTGGGGGCCACAAGGTGAAGCTAAGACATGAGAAAGCAGAGCCCAGAAATGGAAAGTCCTTCCTGACATCACCTGAGTTCCTAAATCACTCCTGCACTTTGCTGCTCTACAAGACAGCACATTCCTTGTGTCGCCTGTGCCAGTGACTTGGGCTTCTGACATTTACAACCAAAAGTCCCGCATGTTTAACATCACACCATGAACAAGGTAGATTAGGAGAACCCTTCAGGGAAGGGATCTCTGATAATGTTTCAGGCCTGGTCATGTAATCACATGCCTGGTGAACATCGAGATTCTTGTAAAGTTCTTTGACTCCAGATATGGAGTCAAAATTCAGATGATGATTAGAATGGCTACAGGCAAGAGAAGGGATGCACTCAAGGGAACTCGACACAAGCCTCTGGGTAAGGCCAGAGCTCGGGATTAGGTACAAGAAGGCAGATGGCCAGACAGAGCGCCAGCACAGACACACAAGTGAAATTTATAAAGGGCAGGGCAAAGGGGTAGGGTTTTGGGGAATAGGTGATATGTAAGGAGACCTAACCAAGCAGTTCTTAGCAGCAGCAGGAGACTATAACAAGGCTATGAAGTGGATGGGAGGGGAAAACCAGAGACACAGACATAGGGGACAAGGTAGGAATTTGGTTAAGAGAAGAAAGGATAAAGGCGGGCCCATCTAAAGAGGCTCAGAGCCATGTGGTCCAATGCCACATCTACAGGATTCTTGCTGTGCCTGTGACATGGGACCTGCAAGGCAGACTTGGGTGTGTGATGTCAAGCAGATAATCACCGCTTCTGCACTCTCGCCTCTCTACAGACACCTATGGATGCCTACTGCTCCTTACAAAAATCTTAAGTCCCTCCATCTGATCATTTTATCAGGGTACTTAAAAAGCTAAGGAAGGAAGTATTCAGTACAATTCCAACCTTGTCAATGAAATAATGCAAGGCTGGACTCTACTAGTAAACATTTAAAACATTAATGATTATCCTTGATGGTGGGGTTATAGTTTATTCTAGTTCATAAGATTATTTTTCCTAAGCATTCTACCATGAATATGCATTACATTTTGGAATAGAGAAACAGTGGTTCTCAGGGTGACCCTATTCATATGTGTGTCTGAATATATAACAACACATAAAAGCTCTCTTCTGAACAGCAAACTTTTAAGAGTAAGGTAGTTCTGGGTAGACAGGCAGGGCAGATAAAGTAGGAGGCTGCATTTCAGCAGCCATCCCTGGAATTCAGAAAGCCTACTCACAGGAACTGCTAACTTAAAATGTCTTCAGTGTCCAATACGGTAGGACTGACTGCAGCCCAGCACTGGATTCAATAATCCACCACCCCAGCCAGAATGCTCCATAGGTGGTTTGAGGCCCATACTTAAGAAACTGAGAGCTCACAGTTAATCCTGCTGACAAAGTATATTTTTTGTCATTTAAATCCCTTTCAAGCCAGTTTAAATACCACAGTACTGAAACAAGATACAGTGATTTCCACTCTTTGGAAAAATCATAACACACACACACACACACACACTCACACATACACACAAATATGCAGGCTAGAGAACAAGTAAAAAAACATGTACTAAGAGTAAAAGATGAGTTTTAATTCTGAAGTATTGCGAACAAACAGCAGAGTGTAGCAGAGAATGTAACAGACGCAAGTTTATGGATTATCAAGCAAAAGTAATGCAATGAGGTCTTTTTTCAAACTTACAACAATTCTCGCACAAGATTCTCTGTGTTGTTAACAATCTTAGCAAAATCTGAGGACCTATGACTCATTTCTGCAGAAGAACAAATAAACAACAACAGTTCAGAACCAAACAATCAGAAATAACTACAAAAATGTGTAAGCAAACAGCAAAGGGAACTTGTAGTTGTTTTGCATTCAAATTACAGGCCACAGTTCACTGGGTTAAGGGGATGAACCAAATGGATTTTCACAATGCAAACATATGAGCCAATGGTTATGGCACAGTGATTTTTCAAGTGGTATATTCATTGAACAAGCCACTTATTAACTCAACTTCAGGTTCACTGTGACTCTCTGTACTACCTCTTTCTGACAAACAGTAATCTAGACACAATGTTACCCTTTGGGACAAGAGCACAAAATCCCAAGCTATGACCTCACTTCACAGAAACCTAAGTGCATGTCCCAAGCCCATAGGACAAGATTTAGCAGTTAACCCTTTATGGGCTCTTAACATCAAATAGCCTGGGGCTGGTCTGTGCAGCAACAGATTAAGCTGCCACCTGCAAAGCTAGCATCCCAAAAAGGCTCTGGTTCGAGTCCCAGCTGCTCCACTTCCAGTACAGCTCCCTGCTAATGCGCCTGGTAAAGCAGCAGAAGATGGCCCAAGCACTTGGGCCCCTGCCACCCACATGGGAGACCTGAATGATGCTCCTGGCTCCTGGCTTTGGCCTGGTCCAGCCCTGGCTGTTGCAGCCATTTTGAGATACAAGCTCTCGCTCTCTATCTTCTTCTCTCTTCCTGTAACTCTGCCTTTCAAATAAATAAATCTTTAAAAAAAAAATACAGATTTTGAAACTTGAAAAAAAAATGCCAAAGAAAGCAAATTTTAAAACTCAAAAGGCCCTCTAAGGTCCTCTTCTCCAACCATGTAAGGGAAAGAAACTTAGCAATAAAATCATTAGTATGTAAGTTCTTCATAGAAAGCCTGTGTGCTTTTTAAGAAGCCTGTGGGGCGGGCATTTGGCACAATGCTTGGAACACCTGCAGCCCATGTCAGAGTGCACAGGTTCAAGTCCCAGCTTGGCTTCCAATTTCAGCTTCCCTCCAGCTTGTTCCTGGAGGACAGCAAGTAATGGCCAGATACTTGGATCCCTGCCACCCACACAGGAGATTCGGATTCAGTTCTGGGCTCCTGGCTTCAGCCTGGGCCAGCTGTGGTTGTTGTGGATTCAGTCCCAACTCTACATCCAATTCCAGTTCTCTCATCATTTCATATCCTGGAAGGCAGCAGGTATGTCCCAAATACTTGGGTCCTTACCATCCATGAGGGGCACCAACTTCAGCCTGGCCCACCCCTGGCTATTGTGGACATTTTGAGAATGAACCAGCATATGGATGATTTCTCTGTCTCTGTCCCTCTGCTTTTCCAATAAATAAAAAAATTTTAAAAGAAGCCTGTATTTAAGTATAATAAAAACTGCAAATTCAATGTGAAGCAATATTATAAATGCTGGGGGCCACCGTTAGGCAATGTACAGTATCTTCTGATCCCAGATGCTGTGCTTAGCAGAAAGTAGAAACTAACTATGAAACAGCAAGCTGAGATATCTAAACCGCTCACCAGCATTGGTGCTGTTTTCAAACCGTTTCTATCTACCATGCAACCACAAAGTTATTAAAGTTTAAAAACACACTCGTATCTACAAAGGCCTACCGGAAGAGCCTGCAGAAATCCTAGGCTTGATGCATTTAAATCAGTTCCCTTTGAAACTCAAACACTCACAGAATCCAAAAGTAAATCTTACCAAGGACACTAATGCCAAGTCCTTTGTAGTCTAGTAATTCTTTCTGTATTTCTAACAATACCTAGGAAAGAAGGAAAGATGATTTCAGTATGTCATGCACAGCTTCCCTCTGGACATACAAACCAGGGATGGAGAAGGGGAAGTCCACCCCGGAGCCCATTAAGTTCCAGGTTCTGTCCCCCCGCATTCCAGTCCCCTCCTCCCCCTTCCCACAGAGCCTCACTGATGCAACTTACACACAAGTTGAGCAAGAACTTAGACAACCAGACTGGTGCCAAGAAACACGGTTTCCAAAGACATAAATTCACTGATTCCCTAGAAAATATCCCCTCTACAAACCCCACCTGTCAGTAGAGAAAGCATAACGTTCTGGGCTGAAGAAACAATAAAATAATCAGGCACCAGAGAAAGCCGACAAATGGGAGATCTTTTTCCTTAAAAACACAGTAGCTAAGGAGGACGACCCTGAAACACAACCTCAGCGTGCCTGCCACTTGTTTGAAAGCACAGGATTTCAGGAGCGGGCACTGTGGGGCTGCAGGTTAAGCGAAGCTCGGGACACCTGCATCCCATATCCAAGTTCCTGCCCCTCTGCCTCTGACCCAGCTCCCTCCTGATGTGCCTGGGAAAGCAGCAGAAGGTAGCCCAAGTGCTTAGGTCCCTGGATGGAGTTCCCAGCTCCTGGCTTTGGTCTGGCCCAGCCCTAGCAGTAGCCACCATTTGGGGATTGAAATGGCAAATGGAAGATCTCTCTCTCTGTGTCTGTGTCTCTGCCTTTCAAACAAATAAATCTTTATTTTGAAAAGTATTTTATTAATAAATTAGACAAAATATGGCCTTGACAAGATGGTTCAAGAATGTGGTTTTTCTTTACCTGCTGAATGCTATGAACCCTGGCTGATCAAATAAATGAGAGAATTCTTTCACCTGTGACTGAATCCTCTGGGAGCTCATTTTAAGACTCTGTCTTATAGACAGAAATCCATCTGTGAAAGTTCATAACCAAAACCAGTGCAGAGATGTAAGGACATCTACCAAAAAACACACCTCCCCACCAGATAGTGGGTCTTTTTTTTTTTTCAAACTGCACAAGGCAACCGCTTTGGTTCCTCCCTATAAATTTTTTTCATAACATAAACATACCAGAAAGAGATAGAAAAAAAGAGTATGTTACAGGTAATTAGACCAAACATTACTTCATAAGGCTACTATTATAATTATACACCTGTAATTTGTCATTTTTAAAGATACATTTTTCACTATAGGTTGCATCCCTCCCCCCAGAAAAATAAAGTTTGAAAGCTGCTCTCAAAATTACAATTCAAGTACATCAAAAAGACACGCACAGAGCAACATCTGCACCTTCCCTCCCTGGGGTTACACTCAATCTGAGGGGAAAAATTCTCCCCAGGAAAATAAATAATAAGTAAATGACTATATCATCCACCTCAACCTCTATTCTAATAAATTCGTAACAAAATGCACAGGTGCCAAATACTTGGAAGATTCCAAAACACGGCAGCGGGGAGGGACAGTCCACAGTTCTGTCAGGGAGTGTCCCCTAAAATGAACTGTAATAACGGAGAGAAAAGTAGGCACTGCTCTCCCAGTTCCGGGCGCAGCACCCCGGAAAGCGCGCGTCTTCTCCCCTCTGCTGTTCTAACATTCTCTGCTCTGCAACACAGGGGAGGCTCTGTCCGGCGAGATTTCTCCTCCGTCCAACAATAGACAATTGTGAAGCCCTTGGCTGTGACCCACACTGCTACAACATACTATCGGCTTTATCCCGGTTAGAAAAACACAAACAGGACAGCAAGGGCGGCCGCCAGTATGGCAAAGGGTTCAAGGCCGACCCCGGAATTCGCCTTTCACAAAGCTGGGGGGGGGGGGGGGGGGGGGCTGGAACCTGGCCGGGGTCTGGAAGGCGGGGATTGAGTTCCTCCTGCACTTGCGTGTGCATTCTCTGGTCACGCTCACTCACTCCATCCGCTCCAGAATAAAGTGAACATAACTGGCCTAAGCAGCCCGCTATCTACCAATTTGAATACTCTGATGACTGCAAGGGACGGGCAGGTTCAAAACGCAGACAAAACAGAGGAGACCAAAGCTTTAGGGAAGCGTAGGTTCTGGAGGGCAAAGCATAACTGCAGACTTTCGAAGCTACATTTCTAAACACCACGTTCCCAACCACACGCGCGGCCCCTCCGTTTGCAATCCCCTTCTGTTAACGTGCTCCACGGCGGTACACAAATCCATCATCCACTCAGTCCCAAGTATCACCCCTCGCTGCTACGAGTCCATTCATACATCCACTCACTCCACACTGTCCCGGCTCGCAGCACTGCTGCGCGAGGCACTTCCTTCTCGCCCGCCGTGCCCGGGGCCCCGCCGTGGCCCCGGAGAAGACACAGCCCGGGAGTCCGCAGGTGCGAGACACTGGCAGCACAGCAAGCCCCGGAGGCCCGAACGGTGCACGTCCCGCACAGGCAGCAGGTTCCAGGGGCAGAAGCACCGGCACGCGTCGCCGAGCTTCCCTCGCCCGCTGCAAACTTTCAGGAGCTCCGGTGCCAGAGCTCCTGGAGCGGGCGTACACGTCGGGGACAAGCGCGCGGGGCCACTCGCGGCGCCCAGAGCAGGAGCGCAAGCCCGCGCGCGCGCTTTTCCTCAGCCCACACCCCCGGCACGCGCTCGTGGGGGTCTCACCGAGTGCGGAAGCTTGGCGGGCCCGGGCCCGAAGTTGACAATCTGCCTCGGAGAGTCCATGGCGTGGCGTTGCGGTGCGGGCGGCGAGTCAGCTACTGAGGAGCCACGGCGTGTCCAGTGGGTGCCCCTGGGCCGCGCCGCGCCAAGTGTGCGGCCGGCGCTGGCAGCCTTCCTTCTCCCCTGGCCGAGTCGGCTTCCATTGGCCCACTGTAGCTGGCCTCCCGCGCTGATTGGTTCGCAGCAGGGAGCTCGCGTCCCCGTTGGCCACGCCCACGAGCCGAGTCCGGGAGCAGTCACTCCTCGCGTTTTGTATTCCAACCCCTTTTCAATCAATGCAAGGCGCGGAGGAGATTGCACCAGCTTCCTTGCTCGGTGGAACGCCCACCCAGAGATCATGAGTGGGGGGGAAGAGGCTGCCCCTGCCGGCCCGCGATCCTCCCTCGGGCGGCCTCGCTTCCTCCCCTCCAGCCCCCTGCCCCAATGGACGGGACCCGGAGCTGCCCAGCAACGTGAGCTCCCTCGGCCCCATCCACCCACCTCTCCTCCATCAGTCCCGAGACTGGCATCTGATACTTTTGTTCCAGACCCATTAGTAATTAATGCACGAAACGTTTCTAAGCACGCGAGCCAGCTATCCCAGTGGAGAGGTGGGGCCCCTAGGGTGGAATTGCAGCTACTGAAGATGGGGCCAGAGGGTGGCGGGTGGAGACGGCCCTTTGTGCTTGCACAGGGACCCCGAGTTTCTGCAAGTCAAGAAAACGGGGGAGGGGCACTGTGGACGCCCCCACCCCACCCCCCACCCCGGCGGGTGCTGCAAAGTCGCTCTTTATTTCCTTCTTGGTGAACCGAGGGAGCCGGAACCTGGCGACGGCTCTCGGGTTCGCCCACGCTGATAAGCTGTGAGTTTTAGAGACGCGAGGAGACGCTCGCGGCAACGCGACACCCGCTGGGGGCAGGGCCAGAGCTGCTCCAGCTTTCCCACCCCAGCTCCCTTCGCGGAGCCTCACGTGAGCTCCTGAGCACAGGGAACCCCTTTCCCTGCAGGAGGGAAGTCGCTTTGAAGTCTGGAGCCTCCTCAGTTCTTGCAGAACGCCTTGCGTTCTGCTCCGCAAGTGAACGCAGTTCGTTTCGACATAAAAAAATATTATTTCTCCAGGTCTCTGAGTAAAATTGTTACACCGGGAGTAGGTCCAGTGCCCGTGGTGCCCGTTCCGGGACTTTCACCAGCCACAGCGTCAGCTACCCCAGTCAGAGAAAGTTTAATGTGCCTTTGGGGGTTCTGGCATTGTGTCCTTGCTGGGGCTTGGTGAGCTGGGATGAGGCCCGGAGCAGAGACGCTGCTCTGGGCTAGGGGACTGGAGGGCGAAGTTTCTAGAAAAAGATGAAATGTACAAGCACCTTGCAAAATTGAATGAGGAGAGCCTGGCCTTGTTATAGCAGGTAAGGCCTCCACCTGTAGCCCTGACATCCCATATGGGCACAAGTTCCAGCGCCCCACTGCTGCTCCACTTCCAATCCAGCTCCCTGTAATGTGACTGGGAAAGCAGCAGAAAATGGTCCAGGTCCTTGGGCCCCTGGACCCACGCGAGAGACTGGAGAAAGCTCCTGGCTCTTGGCTGCCGCCTGGCCCAGCTCTGGCCATTGTGCCCATTTTGAGAAGTGAACCAGCAGATGGAGGCACTCTCTCGCTCACTCTTCCGTCTCTGTCTCTGTAATTCTGCCTTTCAAACAAATTTTTAAAAAATCTTAGTTTTAGACCCATAGCATCCAACCCCCCAGGGGAGTAAAGGAGTTGCCTTCACAACTGCTGGAATCACTAACCCCAGGTACTCCCACAGTCCCAGAGGGTAGGCTGGGAGAAGGTGCCACTAGTCCTCTATCTGCTGAAAACATGACTGAGTTGTCACCATTCTCTAGGTTTTCATGGCTTCGCTCAATTAGCTCTGTACTACTTCTAGGTCCCAGAAGGTTGGCTGAGGTGGGGTGGCTCTATTTATTTACTTGAAAGAGTTACAAAGAGGCAGAGAGAGAGAGAGGTCTTCCATCCACTGGTTCACTCCCCAAATGGCCGCAATAGCTGGAGCTGGGCCAATCCAAACCCAGGAGCCAGAAGCCAGGAACCTCCTCTGAGTCTCCCATGCAGGTGCAGGGGCCCAGGGGTCTGGGCTATCTTCCACTGCCTTCACAGGCCATAACAGAGAGCTGGACTGAAGTGGAGCAGCTGGGACTTGAACCGGTGCCCATATGGGATGCTGGTGCTGCAGGCGGCAGCTTCACCTGCTATGCCACAGTGCTGGCCCCACGCATCAACATTTTGAAACACCCTTGTATGCTCTGTGTGAAATAACAGATGAAAATAAAAGCCACTTCCCATCACCTCAGGAACTAATCATCTCTATTTGCATATCACCACAAATAACAAAGATAACCCCAGTAGCAAAATTAATAATTTTTAAATAGCCCATTTCCTTGGAGTCAGCATTCCTGCTCCAACTTAGACAACAATATATAGTCCCAAACCAGACCACTAACAGATGCCCTCAGATTCATTCATCAACATTCAGTCATTCAACCAATATTGCATTCTTGCCACATAGGAGGGGGTTTGGTGTGTTTGTGCAGAATCATTTTCTTACAAACATCTTTTCAATGAGGCCTGCCCCATCTCCCATCTAGTACTGCGACTTCCCCCTCCGTACATGTGCCTCCGATTCCTCTTACCCTGAAAAACATTTCTCTTTTCGGCAAAGCATGAGTCACCTTCGAACAGGCTATACCCGTATATTTACTTCATCCATTACATCTGTTGCCTGTCGGGTAGCATACGAATTCTGTGACAGCCAAACTTTTTTCTTCCTGGGTTTGTTGATTTGCAAAACATAGTGCCTAGCCAGAGTAAGCGCACAGTGCAGGTTTGTTTAAAAAAAAGAATGAACTTACAAATACTGGACTATTGTGATTTTCTTACAGTTGAGAGGTTTGTTTCAAAGTTGAAGCTTTCAGCTTGTGAGACAGAAAACTGCTTGCCATTATTTAAAATTATCTCCCAGCCCATTCAGCAATTTCAAGGGAGGTTTTATCTTGTCTCCTTCTTCATTCCAATCTATTCTACCTCCATTCTGCATCCATCCACTTTTGTCTCCATACTGTTTGCCCAGTCCCTGCTCCCATGATTTCCAGACTTTGGGGCTAGTCTACTGGTACTGACCTTGCCCCACCAAGAAGCCATTCCTCAAACAGCAACCACAGTCGACTTTGTTTTTTAAAAACAAGTCTGTGCATGTTCAGTACAGATGCATTCTTTTTTTTAAAAAATTATTTATTTTTTTGAGAGGCAGAGTTACAAACAGAGAAAAGGAAAGATAGAGAGAGGTCTTCCATTCGCTGGTTCACTCCCCAAATGGCTGCAACAGCCAGAGTTGGGCCAATCTGAAGCCAGGAGCCAGGAACGTCTTCTGGGTCTCCCATGCGGGTGCAGGGGCCCAAGGCTTTGGGCCATCTTCCATTGCTTTCCCAGGCCACAGCAGAGAGCTGGTTCAGAAGAGGAGCCGCCCGCGACCGGCGTCCATATGGGATGCCAGTACTGCAGGCGGAGGCTTAGCCCAGTATGCCATAGCGCTGGCCCCCACAGTCAACTTTTTAAAACGTAAAGCAGAACTTGTAACTCTCCTGATTCAAGCCATCTGTCAGCTTCTCTCTACATCCAGAACAACCCCCAAACTCATAACAGCACCACAAGACCACACCTGACCAGGTTCTCCATCCTATTGATTCAACCATTACCTCTTTCTCTCGTGACTGACCAGTCTCTGCAGTACTACTTCGTAATTGCCCACCCCCCCCATTAGAAGGTAAGTTGTTGGAGGAGCTGAGACCACATCTGCCTTGCTCATTGCTGTAGCCCCAGCACCACACAAGTGTGGGACAAACAGTCTCATGAACAGACAAGGCAGAGAGAAGAAAATAAATGAAAATGCAACAGTCTTTGTTGCTTGGGGAGAATGTATTGATTATTTCTTCAGCTTTTCCAATAATGAGCACTTAAAACTTGCTAATCATCTTTTGAAAAGTTGGTAATGTCAGTAACAGAATGGGAGTGGGATGGGGTCAGATGATCCTGAAGCCCAGGGAAGACGCTAGGAAGCCACTTTGCAAACTTGGAGAGCCTGTGGCTGCCACAGCCTGTCAACCTACAAGCTCCTTCTGCTGAGGCTGAACGCCTTGTCGGGTACTAACATGTCACTATGTGATTACAATTCTAGGCCAAGGTTTTCAGTGATGAGTGACACTGCACATGGAAGATTGCTACATCATTCACTTCTATTCAATCTGCATTGGATCCACTTCCCTATATTTGCAAAACCACCCAAAAGTCCACCACAGACTTTGGCAAGGTGCATGTTGCTAAAGGGATATATTCTGCATTGGTAAGAAGAAATAGTTGGAGGGCAGGCCCAGGCATAGGGTATGTTTGTGTCCCAAACTCACAGAGCTGGAAGGAATCATGGAATGTCACCTAGAATCAGCTGCCCACACATCCTGAGAGCCAATCTCTCCCAACATTGTCCTGGGGCAGTGGGGAGGAAATATGAGGCTCCACTGTAAATCAACATAAAGCCATTCCCAGAGCACTGTCAGAGGATTGGGTGGAGGACAGCAGACACGAGGGACTGCATGGAAAATTTTCAACAATAACACTTTGTACTGATCTTGCATAGCCCAGCACACATAACTCACGTTGCCTAAGTAGAACTCTGAGGTTATAGAACGACTCGGTGTCTCCAGGATGGCCTCACTTGTCTCATGTGAATAAACTTCCTCAGACAGCTAACGCTGACTAACGAATTTTAACCAGATTCACTGACCATGTGGAATTCAGGAGCCAAAAGAAATTCTGCATGCATTCTAAATTCAAGGTTACAGACCCAAGTACTTGGGCCCTGCACCCACATGGGAGACCTGGATGAAGCTCCTGGCTCCTGGCTTTGGCCTGACTCAACCTTGACCACTGTGGCCCTCTGACCAACAGATGGAAAATCTCTCTCTCTGCAACTCTTTCAAATAAATCAATCTTTAAAATGATGTCAAAGTGTCAGTGTAGTCATGTACATCCTCCTGAAAGGGAGCCTGATCAGAA